GGGGGGTAGCAGGGTCACCGGCGGCACTCACTCGGCCACCCGCTGCCGTTACAGACCCCGACGAGACGCCTGCCCTCGACCACTTCAGGGCCACTCGAATGATGCATCAATTTTTACTCCCGTTGAAATAATCCCCCATAATAAAGAGGGGACAAGCGCGTCGTACGTGGCGTGCAAGCCTACTATGCAAGGTGTCCCATAGGGCCTGTACTTTTGTTTGGCGATTCAGACGTGTGGGTGAGTACAGTCTGGCCAAAAAACAAAAGTACAGGGCCGCTGTGGGACACACACACTAAATGACTCAATGTTCCGTCACGCCCCTTTCGCAGCCACCCGGGGCGTGCCGCCGTCGGGCCGCGACACCAGGGGCCGGGACATGCCCGAGCACGACCAGCTGTCCGCGCCGGCCTCCTCCGCGCACAAGGCCGCCAGGCTCCCTCTCAAGGCGCCGCCCCAGGCTGTGCCCGGGGTCTTCATCGTGCACGCGGCGCCCTTCTCGGTGCCTCTGGACGCCGAGGCGACGCACACGACCGTGTCCCAGCGGCCGGTAGATGGGCTGCTCACGTCCACTGAACCCCGACGAGGGCGCGCGGCGGCCACGGTCGGCCGGTCACGGCGACGGCCGCCTTGGGCTCTCTGCCCCACCCCCACCCCCGGCGACACCGACGACACAGTCGCCGCGAATGCGCTTGAAATTAGCAGCAGCGACAAGGGCACTGAAACGTGCCAGGTGGTTGGCAACCAAAAACTATGAGCCACAGCAACAATTACGCCTATGGCATAAATCAATCCGGAGAAATAGACGCAAGAGATATTCGATGAAACCATGTACAAAACGCACGCTTCAAGAAAAACAGTTATTTTTGGAGCACAAACGGTAAAACCATCAACATTTATGATGTACATGTGTCTAATGGCAGTAGTATATGTCAAGCTCGACAAAAAGAAGTAAATAAATTGAAATTTTTTATATGTCTCACGGCAGTGCGACGCTACTCGCAGCCGGGCCGCCACTCCCTGTGTCCAGGGGGTGGAAGCGGCACTCTCCTAACGCTGCCAGCAGCTACTGACGCAGCACAGACCCCGCCGCCCGCCTGGAGCTGGCGCTTGCAGGAGCTGCAGGCAGCGCCGGAAGTGCGAAAGCGGTAGTCTTCTAGACTCTGAGCCCCACAAGACGCCCACTAAGCCCCCGTCGTCGGATGAAAGCAGCAAGACATCTGATCAAGAGATCACGGCGAAGAACGGTTTGAGCTAGGTATACCTGAAATTTTTCGTGTAGCTTTTTAGGATAACTAGCTACATGTACGCCTGACCACGTCTTGCGTAACAGGCTTCGCAAAAGAACACTGTTAAGCTGAGACGCATCTGGCGCACATATAGCTAGGCCTGCGGTGCCGACACCCGAGACTCTCGTCTCTGGCTTTCTTTGTCAGTTAATGGTAAATACGCGGTGTCAAGCGAAATATACTTGCGAAATGAGGATCTGAGCCGCCTCAACACACTCGCGACTACGATTTCAGAGAAAATGTCGTGATTTTTATTTGAAATGTTGCACTTTCTCTCAGGTGTTAACCTTGCCCTCGGTACCAAGTCTCACTTATTTCTATCACAATTTTCGATTAATGTATGAAATGATGTTTGCACACCTGGTTTTAGTAATGAACAATTTTATATCTTTCATTTCATCACTGCACTTCTGAAAGTCATTTAGTCAATGAACACCACTTTTGGTTCATATGTTTTGGAACTGTCGATTTGATTTGCTTTGTTTTCTCGTGTTACTTCAATACATTCTAAATGTTTTATTACTTTTGCCCGGTTTTTTTAGGTCTATTTGTGAGTAACTGATTATATACAATGAGTATGGATCCATTGTCACCATGGGACAACACAATTCCTCAAATTCTGCTGTATTCTTCCCCATTAAATTCTGATTTTAAGTATATTCCCACCATAGGGCTTACGAATTTATCAAACACTTGTTTTTTGAATTCTTTCCTTCAGGTATTGAAATTTAATTCTTATGTTCACATTTATATTAAAAACATGGTAATTCTTTTTAATACTGTGTTAATTTTTTAATATGATCAGCAGGCTTTGTTTCACCTTCCTAAATTTACAAACTGGGTTGTATCAGACTCACTCCACTTCTCACGTTGTGAACACTGCATGCTATGTACTCTTTCCTATACGCTTCAAAATATGCTTGTCTGCCAAACTTCAGCCACTGCCATTTCACCTGTAGAGTTGTGTAGATTGCTTCGAGGTATACTCTCTTCAGTTTTCCTATACCTATCTTTGTTTTTCTGAAATGTGTGTACTGTGTGCCACATTAATTTATCTCATTTTGTGTAGTGGTAATTGTTTGTCTGTAGGTTTGAAACTAAACTGGGGATCGCAAGAAGATGCAAATGATTTTATTGTATCTCTTCTGCAAAAAATACAAGAAGATTTCTTGGATCGGAACGGAGAGCTGAAGTAAGTAAAATTATGTAGTAGTATAATCAAACTTGCCCTGGTCTCTTCTTTTCCTTTGTAGAAGTGTTTTAGATTACTGCAGCAAGAAGACTACCCCTATAGACTGCATTTTTGGTTTCTGGGTCCAGACTGAAGGTGAGCGTGGAGTAACTTTGCTATGTAACTGTTACACAAATATAAGAAGTTTATATGTTTTTAAAATTCCTTTACTATTCCATCCAAGTTGAATGTAGTGTGGACTACTGCAAGAATGTTTCAAAGACATATATGCAGATGCAGGAGCTACAGGTTGACCTCTCTGAAACCATACAACAGGGTCTTGACAATTTTTTCCTGGAGGAGAAACTCATTGTGAAGCGTGTAATCGGATAAATGTGTGCTCACGCAGACTGAAATTGTATACAACCTGTTCAGAAGTACTTATTGTTCAACTCAAAAGGTAATGTGTTTCTTGAAAGTTCATGTGAGATTTTCCTTATTTGGTTTCTCTTTTTAGATTTGACAACAATCTCCAGAAAGATATGAGGAGTGTCGAAATCAACCAGAAAGTTTCTGTGGCAGGGAGGGCATACAATCTCTGCAGTGCAATCGTGCACTATGGAGGAACCCCTTCAGCTGGCCACTATAAGGCCTATGGCCAGTGCCCTGATAAAAGTTGGGCTCTTTTCAATGATGACGAGGTATAATGGAAGCAGATTCCTGCCCATATAATAACAATATTTTGTCTGCAGATGAAAATATTCATTGCATTTATGGTATTTTGATCCACTCATCTGACAGGTTTCTCTTGATAGAAAATGCGACCTATCTCTTGAGGAGGTAAAAAGCCAATGTTGCATTCTAATGTATGAAAAGGATGAGCAGGATGGTGCTAGTCACATTTCACCTCTTCAAAGTGTACTACAGCCAGGGGTTGCCTCACTAATTTCTAAACAGCCAGTAAGTGGAGCAAAATGTTAAAATTATTTACCCCTTTGTTGTTGTTGCGGGGCAAACTCAAAGACGACGGGTTTAAGCGATCATGTTCTTGAAGAAATCGCGGGACAGAAATCGCCACCGGCAGGCCAAGCAGGCCCGGCCCCTGCCGAACGGAGTTGCCGGCGGAGCGAAGCGGAGCTGGCAACTTCATTTGGCGGAAGGTCGGGCCTGCTTGTTGATGAGTATGAAAACTTCACCCAGGGGGGTGGGGGAGGGAGGGTGCGAGGCAAGGACTAGTGACGCGGCCATAAAGGGGCCCGAAGGGGTGGGGAGCACGCGACCGGCGTAAAAGCCCCTCCCCGAGGACCTTAAATGCAGCCTGACCCTCGCCACGACCGGTCCGGAGGGAATAGAACGCGCGGGCTTCCTGTTCATGATCACCGACCAGGTGAGCGTGTACAGTCAAGTGCCCTAAATACGGACTAGCGTCCAAAATACGGACACTTTGCAGTTTTCTACTAGTAAAGCCCCTAAATCGAAAACGGGTATCCGGAATATAGCTGCCGAGGGTTCGCTGGAAAGGTTAGACCTTCTAGAATCTAGATTTGAAGAAATATTCTCCGATATCTTCCATACTGTTCCCTCCAAAAAATACCAAACTTGCATTTTGGGGCGCCACGAAAACGGACAATTTTTATACTGCTTTGCAAGAATGTGGGGATCTCAACGGTGGGTGATCGCCCAACTTTCAGGTTGACATATGTGAAACTAAGACTCTTCACCTACAAGATGACACAAGAATATTATTTTTATGTCACTTGTGTAAAGTTTGAGAAGCGATTTCCGAAAGTCTCCTAAACACGGACAGAAGATTTTACATGCAAAAGTAACTGCTGTCCGTATTTAGGGCACTTTAAACGACTTTAAAAATGATCTTTAAGCAATTCTGGCGCCTAAACTATACCAGATGAGAAAATTTCACCGGCAGGGTAAGGTCAAATTTTTTCATGAAGTTTTCATTCCCCCCAACAATTTTTCACTTTTCATAATTTTTAAAGGCTGTCCGTATTTAGGGCGCTTAGGCCCCTAAATACGGACACTCTTCTAGC